GTGCGGTATCCATATGATATTTTTGTAGGAGGTATGAGTTCTTTTTAGACCACGACTGGACATGTGTCGGCTTTCACGACGATCTCATGGTAGGGTGACTCTCTATTTATTAATAGTGCTTCTGGCGAGGAGCGGTGGCACCTCTGACGCTTCTAGTGGCAGAGGCGGTGCTGATACCCCGTCGCTGAAGAGACTGGGGTCAGGAACCGGGGTGGACAGCTCCGGTACTGATACACCCGTCGCGCACAAAACCTCCTTCAATAAGTTAAGCCCGTATTTTGGGATCCTTTTTACGAATGCTATGCGCCGTCTTAAAAAAAAAAACAGAACGAATGAAGTCTCTATCGATCGTCGTCCTACCAGTAGATGTTAGTAAAAACATGAGAGCTTTACTTGGTGGTCTGTCTATGCCTTGCGTTTACCATAGCTAGTTGTGGAGTTGGTGATAACTGAAGGACAGACTACATGTACTGCTTAATTAAAGAACTCTACTGACGCAATACATTTTTTGAAACGGTATGCGTATGCAGGTGTAAGCCTAGATACCGATAAGGGCGGTATAGGCTAGGGATAGTCGGTTGCAACGTAGCTCGGATAGGTTAATATTCAAATGGAGTTGTTTGATTGGCTATATATAACTCGGCGCTATGCTTTGCTTAGACTAAGTGCACTGCATGACATCCAAAGTCGTGACAACTAGAAGTAGCATGATATTGACGGAAGTGGAGCTGATATCGCCGACTTAGTGTTATATAAGTACAGTAACATTGGTGGTGCTTATAACTGCATTCAAGCTCACCAACAATGTCGATAATGGCTACTGTGGAAGTCTGCCTGTGGAATAGCGTCTCCATGTGACTCCGACGGCCCTGCATATACCACAGCTGTGCTCACGAGCTTTACCGTATTACTCGAAGCTACACCCGACGACATCTACATGCTCGGAGCTATTATGTGACCGGCGTCATGGGCTACCTATGGTGTAGCGATTTCTAAGTAATCGCTGAAGTGGCTACATTCAAGTTGCTCAATCCACGAACGCTCGGTCATGCGACAGGTGGTGACCACGGTGCAAGATGGTCAAGGTTATGTCATTACCGAACGCTTGTCGAGTCCGACTATAACCAAGATGCCACTCAAGTCGGGTAGTCCGTATAGGTGAAGATCAGCGGTCAAGAACCGACGGACTACGGTACTACGACTCGGTGACGGTTCGAGCGACTCTTCGGTGGGTGC